CTCGTTTCTCGCAGCTCCCCCCCGTCGATCAGGAGCGAAAGAAGGACGTACATGTACATGAATCCACGCTGGTTTCGAGAGTACGCACTGCGCAAATGTTCACATAACGCGGCCGGTCTCGCGGATCGAGGGGCCGTGTTCATGTACATAGCTGGGCGCGTACGTCCTTTGTGGGCTCCCTAGTCGACGGCGCCCGGGGTCCAGCAAGCGGGGGCCACGGGCGTTTGCTGTGCTCCCGTTGATCGGGTGCACCGAGGACGGATGGCCTCACCGAAGGCGGGTGGCCTGGCGAGGCCCTGCAAGAACTCTGAAACTCATGCAGGTCAGAGCGCACTTGCACGCCGCTTCGGCCCAGCATTGCTGCATGAGGCAGCGGAAGGGGGGTGGGGGGGAAGGGCAGCAGCCCATGCAAGTTCTTTTTCTTGAACTGTATGGAAAACGTGCTCTCGGCAAGCCGTTCCGATCCGATCGGTCCAGTTTGATGTCGAGCTCGGCCAGCCCGATCCGATTCGGTTCCGATTTCGGACGTTATCGTCGGTTCCTGGAAGCTTTTCTGCCTCAGGTTACGCTCTGGCAGTGCCGCCTCGCCGATGCCCGAACGGCCGCTGGAAAGCCGAGTTGGGACCCAACAGTCCAATTGTGTGTCCCTCGTGATCCGGTCGATCTGGTTCAATATCGATCTCTACCCGCACGATCCGATTCAGCATGATGTTCCGACGACCCGGCGCGACCCGATGCTCGATGGCGTCGCTGTGCAAATTGGTGCGGCCGACGATCTCGCTCCCCGATACAGCAGTCCGACGCGCGTGTTCTGATCCAATGCTCCGCATGCCAGCGTCCTGGCCGCCGCCGCCGTGGCCAGGCACAGGAGCAGTGCAAGAAACTTACACGGCCAAGCGACTCCTTTCCTTTGAGTCGGGCCTGTCCCTCTACGAAATCTTCAAACGTCCAAAAATAGTCGTGGATTATGTTTCGACTCGCATTTCGGACGTATTTGTTTCTGTTTTTTCTATTTGTCCGTCCAAAATCCCCTCGTAGGGGGACAGGCCCGACCTAACGTTACCCTCACCAGGGCACACCGCAGCAGAAGCTCCGCGTTCTGGCTCGCCGGTGGCCACGTGGCGACCCGAGGCGTGTGCCGACGCGGCGCAATGCAGACGAGACGCCGAGAGCCGGAGCGCCCGCGCCTGAACAGGCCAGTCCTTGGATTTTGTCCCCCTGAGGAGGAGGAAAAAGAGGAGGAGGAGGAGGAGGAGGAGGAGGGAGGGGGAGGAGGAGGAGGAGGAGGAGGGAGGAGGAGGGAGGAGGAGGAGGAGGAGGAGGAGAGAGAGGAGGAGGAGAAGGAGGAGTAGGCATAAACATCAACAGTGGCGAAGCGTCCTTTCTTACCCGGGCCCAACGGGCCCGTTCCCCCCACCCCACCCCCCTGGGTAACGCTAACGGCCGAACGTGTTTTGGGGGTGGAGGGCGGACCCCCCTCCTCTCAGCAGGTATGGCAATGGATGTGGCGATGGCGCGGACGCACCCTGGCGGGCGCACGCCGCGGCCGCCGTTACCGTTACCCGCCTGCCCCCCCCCCGTGGGCAACATCCGTTACCCAAAATAAAAAGGAGCAGTATCCAAGAGCCCATGCTCTCTGCAGGGCTGGACCTAAACGCTGTTCTGCTGGACTTCGGCTGTGCTTCGTTTTTCGTTTTGGCAGGGAGGTACTGGCAAACGGGCAGAGCAAAACGAACACAAAGCGAAAACAAAACAAAAAACACCGTTCACGCAGGTCCAGCCCTGGCCCTCTGCTCCAGTCTGGGGCACAGGGCCGATGTGGCCAGGCCAGGCAGGCCCAGGAGGAGGACAGAAATGGCCCCGGAGAGCGAGCAGGAACTCTCCCAGAGCTTCACAGAAGTCGCTCTGCACCAGCCGCGGCGCCTGGCGCGTCGTCCATGTCCGTCCGATCTCAGAGGCTCCTGATGTTTCCTCCTGATTGTTCCTCCTCCCTTTCTCCTCCTCCTCCTCCTCCTCCTCCTCCTCCTCCTTCTCCTCCTCCTGCCTCCTCCTCCTCCTCCTCCTCCTCCTCCTCCTCTCCTCCTCCTCCTCCTCCTCCTCCTCCCTCCTCCTCCTCCTCCTCCCCCCCCCTCCTCCTCCTTCTCCGCCTCCGCCTCCTCCTCCTCCTCATCTCAGCATCATCACTCACCCCATCATCCCCTGCTCCTCCTCCTCCTCCTCCTCTTCCTCCTCCTCCTCCCTCCTTCTCCTCCTCCTCGTTCCTCCCCCCTCCTCGTCAATCCTCCTCCTCTTCCCCCTCCTCCCCCTCCTACCTTGTCCTCCTCCTCCTCCTCTCCTCCTCCTCCTCCTCCTCCTCCTCCTCCGCTCCTCCTCCTCCTCCTCCTCCCTCCTCCTCCGCCTCCTCCTCCGCCTCCTCCTCCTCCCTTCCTCCTCCTCCTCCTATCCTCCTCCTCCTCCCCCTCCCCCTCCTCCTCCTCCTCCTCCTCCTCCTCCTCCTCCTCCGCCGTCGCTGCCGGTCTCGGACCCCCGCTGCAGGCCAGCGCCTCCGAGGACGGCTGGGCAGAGGACAGCGGGAGCTCGAGCTCGATCTACACCTCCGCCAGCGGCCAGGCGGCCGCCTGCTACCACCCGTTGTCGTGATGCGGGCCGCGGGCTGGAAACTAGCCTGCCGCACGCGCCTCGGTGCCGTTCTCCCCGCAGCTCTGCCGTCGGAGCCACAAGAGGTCCAGCCAGCTGCTGCTGGCGCCGCCGGCGTCGTTCGGACGCGCTCCCCGCCGCCGTGCCGCGCCTGGACGCCTCCGTCCTCCTCGCCATACTCCACCGCTGCTCGATCTGAAGTTGATGCTGCTCTCGTCTCTCACCCGCGCGGGGGGCCGCCTCTCCCGCGTTCTGTCTCACGCGAATGTGGTTCGCGTCGATCGGACCGTCTTCGACATGGCTTTTCCTTCATGTGTTTCCCGCCCAGATCGTCTTCGACCGCCCGTCTTCGTCCGTCCCATGGAGATTCTCTCGCCTTGACGCCTGCCGCACTCCTGCCCACTCTACCCTCGCTGAGTATGAACATCCAGCTGCCTGCAGCAAGGCCGTCCGCCGTGCCAGCCCAACATTCTGAGTAGCATGTGTTCCAAGGGGCACGGGAGGCCGTCACGTGTCTCACCTCGTGATTTCGTGACCTCAAGGTTCGACGAGCCGTGAAGATGGTGTTGAGGATGGTGATGAGGATGATGTCGGAATGTGATGATGATGATGATGGTGAGGAGGAGGAGGAGGAGGAGGAGGAGGAGGAGGAGGAGGGGGGCTGGTGGGGTTCGAATGCCCGCAGCTAACAACTTCGCGCCACTTCTGAAGATTCCAAGCCGTGACATTTTGTCCCAGGTGTGAACGGCGACCAGCTGGTGGACAAGATGAGGTCGACGAGCGCTCATGGTCTTCATGAGGGCGGTGCAGTACAGTCCACTTTGCTGCAACACCATCCAGCGCGCCGCCGACATATGGTATGAGCTGACCAACAAAGATGTTATTGTTGATCGGGGCTCAAGTGCGGAACAAGTTGGCAGGCGTCAGTGTGCGCAGAAGGTTGACGAGTACATGTGCATCCCCTTTGGATACGAGAGTGGAGTTCGTTCCGATAGAAGTTGCGGTCTCACGTTCAGGCTGAAGGGCAGAAGGTAAAGGAGCATCGCATACGTAATAGATTTCCTGTGCCTGCACGCATGTGAGATCGACGTGCAGCGATGAGAATTATTCAATTGGAACTCCGAGTCGTCTTGATTGGAATGTATTTCCCGACACGTCATACGAGGAGCGCATTAAGGACGAGAGGGCCGTCACCCGCATGGTCGAGTGGTTGGGCGCAGTGTCGCACAAACTGGCAGCGCACGACGCAGTCCATCTCTTCACATATATAAGCGATGGGGTGCGATATGATCCAGATACGACAGCACGTGGACAGCATAGCACTGGCGAGGGATGGGGCTTACTATTAGATGGCAGTCTATGTTGGGTGCTGTTGAAGAGGCTCGAACGCTTGCGGCAGCAGGTCGAAGGCTTCAGTTGCACCGCGCGGGGAGGCTCCTTGCTTATCGAGCAGCGCAACTAACGGCAGACATACAGATGGATCGCTCGCCCAGGTTCGACATACAAGTAAGACCAAATCAGGAGGCCATGCGTCTGTCGCTTCAGACAGGTCGCAGGCGGCAGGAATTGTTTGTTTACTGCTGTTGAACATCAACTGGAAGCTGCAAACACAGAGCTCCGTCTATAGGCGCATCCGAAGAAAGTCGGGGAGGTCACGGAGAGGACGTTCAGCATCATCAGCTAGGCAGCAGTGGAGGCGCACAACAAAACGCCATACTTGACGAAGGACCACGCAGCACATCTCAAGGCGGTCGAAGAGCTGCTCGCCCGGCGACGACCCGCCAGGGACTACTAGTATGCGAATGGGCGGCTGCCAGGAGAAGACCAGCTGGAGCTCTGCTTCAACATCGTGAGAGTCAGTCGTAGGATCCGCAGCGCTTCCCGAAGATTTCGGGGGCGGGTGACAGCTGGGCGAATTGAGGAGATGGTGGCAGCGATGAAAGCAGGAGACAGTCATGTTGTTCACAAGTTGTCACGCGCGGTTGCTGGAGGACGTCGAAGACCCAGACAGCCGCGGCATCAAGTTTGGGCTGCAGCGCCCGCGAAGGAGTGGAAGAAACGCATGCCGGGAGAGGCCGCCAGGGTGATGCGGCGCAGTTATCGCGTCGGAGGAGGAGGAGATGCGCACGCGCGCTTGTGCGCGGGAAGGAGGGGGGCATTATGTTGGAGTTGCGCGGGTGTTTGCACTTGATGACTTGAGGCAGGTTGCAGCTGAGCGCGGCGTGTGAGGCCATGGATAACGCGGCCTGAATTCTGTCTCCCAGTGGAAATATTCAGGATGATATTGCACCCGGAGTGGGCGAGTCCGCGCCGACCACGTCGAACCGTTATCTGCCAGATGGCCATTGAGGGACTTTTCTTCG